CTGGTTCCATCTTAACCCTTTGCATACTGGCTCTCTGAATGTCCTTCAAGAATTTTGGTTCTAAAAAAATGAACTAGATGGTGTACTGGGAGACTTATACTCTAGAACAGACTACTGCTTATTGAAACAAGGTAAGTTTTTTTTTTTTTTGTTCTTCCCGCTCCCGTCCCCCTCACCTTCCCCCCAGCACCCCCCTTCCCATCTCCTCCAGGGGAAACAGGTAAGTTTTAAGCTTAGGAATGAATCAATGATTTCTTTACCCTATATACCAAGACTTTAGCCACACCCCCTCTCATGGGTCAGGCCTGTTCTCCCTGACTTGTTGTCCCTGGCCTTCTCTGAAAACCTCTATTAACTCCCCGATATTAAGATAAACATATACTCAGAAAACCTAGTGCCAGTGAAATCAGTCCAGTGTGAATCCAGTCAGCCATTAAGGGAATACATTTTCCATTCTACTTGCTCTATTTTAATAGATCAAAATATAGTGAAGAGACTTGGACATATCCTAAGGAACAGTTCTAGGTAGTTAGGTACACTTAGCAATTAAAAAAGGGGAGCTCACAAATGATCTTAAGAATTCCATGTTTTTGAATCTCTCTTATTATGAGACTTGAAAAAAAATATGTAAGACAAGTAAGGGGGGAGCAGAGAAAAATCTGGCAACATAAAATGAGTAACTTCTTTGTAAGTTGGAGGGCCTCAAGTCATGGTAGGTCCTAACATTTACACTTATTTACTTAGTTTTTGATACAAGGTCTTACTGTGTAGCCTGGCTGGCCTTGAACTCAGAGATCCACCTGCTTCTGTCTCAAGAGTGCTGATATTAAAGGAATGCACTACTAGGGAAGACACATTTTTTAACCTTTTTTTTTTTTAATTATTTCATAGTTGGTTAAGAGGTGGCCTGTGTCTGTGTGTGTGTGTGTGTGTGTGTGTGTGTGTGTACACACAAAAACCAGAGGAAGGTGCTGTGTCTTTCTTGATCACTCTCTACTTTCTGTCTATCATGGGTTCTAGGGATCAAACTTTAGGTCATCAGACTTGTGCAGCAAGCACCTTTATCCACAGAACCATCTTGCTGGGTTTCCATCTTATTTTTTGAGACAGTCTCAATTAACCTGAAGCTCACAATTTCAGCTAGGCTGGCCAGCCAGTGAACTCCCAAGATACACTTGTCTCCATGTCCCAGAACGGGAGTTACAAACACAACTGGCTATGTCTGGTTTTTATGTGGGTACTGGAGATTAGAACTCAGGTCCTCTTGCTTTCACAGCAAGTGTTCTTATTCACTGAGACATTTTCTAATTTGGAAACATGAACATGAATGAGGAAATTTACCTACACAGTAACAAAAAGTCCACTTATACTTTGTCCAGTAGGACAGATGTTCTCATGAAGGAAGTTGGGGAAGCAATTATCCCCAAGAAGCAAAGTACCTCAATAAGTTAAGTGTCTAATCAGTTGAAGATTACATATCATCTTCTGAACAACCCTTGCAATTATAAAATCACCCAATGAAGACCTAGAAATGGCTGGTACTAGGAGGGGACGTAAAAAGTGAATTGAAGTCTCTCTTATCATTCAGAAAACATAGAAATGGAGGTAAATACTAGTGCAAAATGACACAATTTAGAAATTATTTCCATTACTAAACAGAAGTTTATTCCTTTTTATTTATAAATCTTTTTCTTTTTTTTTTTTTTTTTTTTTTTTTTTTGGTTTTTCGAGCAGGGTTTCTCTGTGTAGTTCTGATGCCTGTCCTAGATCTCACTCTGTAGACCAGGCTGGCCTTGAACTCACAGAGATCTGCCTGGCTCTGCCTCCTGAGTGCTGGGATTAAAGGTGTGTGCTACCAGCTTAAATCTTTTTAAATCTCAATGATTAAAAAAAATTGTGAGATTATTTTCATTAAGAATTTCAGCTTTTAAGGTCAGTCAGATGTTTCCGTGGGGCAAAGATGCTTCTTGTTGAGTCTGAGGACCTAAGCTTGATTCCCCAGGATCTATCCACACTGTAGGAGAGAAGCCATACCTCCAAGTTGTCTTCTATACACTGTGTGTGAACGCACACAAATAAATGTAGTAAGATTTTAAATTTTCATTATTTTTTAAGTAGAGATGCTTAAAATACAGTTCGTAGGGATAGGTATCCCTGACTCTTAGATGATTACAGTTCAAACTTTCAGAGGTTGTCCCACAAAATTCTCACAAACAACACAGAAAAACTGAAGGCCAGTGGGAACTATGGACCTATATTGTACACTTACTCTACTATCTAAAGATCTTTGAGGAAAATTCCTGAGAAACTCCAAATTGAGATTAAAATTCTGGTCGTGAATAAATGCTAAGTCACAAGTCTACAAACGAGCCAGGAATAACAAACAAAATACAGAACTGAATGTCACTGGTTCTATGATGATCCTGAGACACCAAACAAAATGGTGTGATTACAGAGGCCTAACTAACTCATGTAATTCTACATATACCATTAAAACATTCAAAACAATTCATTTAAAGAAAAGATTTATTCTACCATAATGTTTCATATATTTTTCCTAAGAATTTAAAAAACTTTACAAAAGGGAGCTGTTCCTGTTCTTACTTTGCCTATGAACTGAACAATTTCAAATGTTTATAAGTCATATCAGCCAACCAAAGGCAAAACAAATTTGATGAGCTGACAACTTGAAAGCATTTGTCAATACAGAATAGCTAATAGCTATTATTATTAATAGACAGAACAAAACAATTCTTTCTTCAGCATTTCTCAGTTGGTGGTCACAAATTTCTTTTTCTGCTAACCTGATTCTGTTCTTTTGTAAACTCAAATTCTTCATGAAAAAAACAACTTTAAATGCCAACAAATATTCAGTTTGAGGGCAGAATTTCTACAGGAACAGCCATCCTCATGAAGACTTTTTTAAAACCATATTCTGACAGGCTTCACTTGAGGGTCAATTCTGTTTTTTCTATCTTATTATCCCGTTTCCTAGTACTTAACCACAGAATAGTTAGGGAGAGCCATGACAAAGAAGGTAAAATGCTCGCAGCTAACATGATTCAATTAAAGTTTGGGGGACAAAAAAAAAAAAAGGCTTCCAATCAAGCCCCTATGAAAGGAAAGAGTTATGCAGCTTGATCTCACATGCTTAGTTTTATTCTCACTTTCAACTGTAATTCTACTCTAGTCTGAATAAAAGTCATAGCCTAAGGTGAGGACATATTGATGTAGAAGAAACTTGAAGTGGTAGAATTGATGTTATAAAGGATTTATTAATAGACTATTAATAGACTTGCTTAAGAGACATTAAGACACAAAATAGTATTTAGCTAAGGAAGTGCTGCCTTCAAAATACCCCAAAGATATGAGTATACTAGCCAGTCCTGTTACAGATAAGTAAAATTAAGGATTCTAGAATATAAATATTTCTTCACCAGGACTGACCAACCACTAGACTCCATTCCCATAACAAAGGAGACAACCCAACTTACAACCATTAGGCCCATTTCTCTATCAGAGAACATTCCTCTAATAGGCAATTCTAGGAAGCAGCCCAGAGTGACAACCATCTTTAAGTAAGAAAAGCCTAATTCTACTGGCTAGACAAGATGGCAATAGGCAACAACTATTTGGAAAAGAACAATACAGTGTACTTAAAAATAATTCAGACAATGTGGAATATCTTTGCTGTGTAAATCTCCCACCTGCATAAGTGGCCAGACTTATGCAGTCTCCTGTCTGTCTAAATTGGTCAAAGTGGAAACTGGATCTGGGACCTGAAAGGGATTTAAGGATGTCAACATATGTGGAATGCATAAACCTAAGGTGTATACAAGTTAGTAAAATCTTCTGTTCTTGACTGGCTCCTTTTTGGGCATTAGCCAGACTGGACTCAGACTATCATTAAAAAGCTTTCTCCATATTTTTTTCCTGAGTGAGTGGACTGAATCCTGGGGGTGGAGTGTATTCACACATTTCCGATACAATTCTGTTATAATTACAGGTTATTAATCTGCTATTTCCTGTAAAAGGCTTCAGTGATCAGTACCTAACACCCACCTTGTAGTGTTTTAAGAACCCAAGGGATAGAGGTGGAGGTGGGAGTCTATGGCAGTAAATACAAATCACAGAAATTATCAATATTTGAAAATGCCTTCTGGTCTTGCAAGGATAACTGCCAACTAACCCTTAAACATTTAATTGAACCTAATGTTTAATATCTATTTCAGAAAGGAGACAATTGCAGCCATAATTATAGGCATAATGCAAGTCGATACTGTTCAATGTCTTGAGGTTTTTATTTCGTAATTAAACTATTAAGTAGGTAGATGGGCCAGTTCATTTAGTTTGCTTTAATAAAACCCTAGAAATCTGACGCATACTATGTCATCGTCAAAGAGTACACTGAGACACAATCTGACGATCTGGGAAACCCAACTCGGTCCTTTGCAACTCAGGAGCACTGTGTCCCTATTCCACTCCAATGCAAAACAGTAGTCGCAAGACCGGATATACACGGTGCAGAAGTGTCACCCGATATTTAAAAACAGTAGCTGAGGCCACTACACAAAACGTATAAGCTCATCACTTTCAACGTCTTAGTGTCAACATCCAGGCTACCAACTGTTACTGGCAGACCTGAGGGACACAGGCCGTTCCCGCCCGTTGACCTTGGAGAACTCAGCTGGGCCAAGACAGGGAAGGCCGCACTCCACTCCCGCGACGGTGGGGTCGTGACCTTCGCAGGAAAGCTGTCGGCTCTGGCCCACTGCACCTTCCCAGTCCCAGCCCAACTGAGGTGGGATGGCGGGATTAGGAGCACGCTCGGCTCTGGCGCACCCTGGTGCCCGCCATCCCGTGGCACTGACTCACCGCCCCAGCTAGCGCCAAGCGCCGCCCGCGAAGAAGCCGCGAAACTGCTCCAACGCCGGCCATATCTCCGCAGTCCTGCAAGCCTCAGCGACAGACTGCGCTTGCGCACCACGCCACACCGGCGTCGGGCTTGGAAAATTCTGCGCCTGCGCACCACGCCTGCGCTCTGCAAACGCAGTGGTGGCTGTACCTCTGAGGTCAGGTGTCCTCTCTGCTGATGGGCTCTGCTCCAGCGGTAAGTGGGTACTAATGTCTTTAAAGTGCTTCTCGGGTGGTTCTTTGAGTTTGCCAAAACAGAGAGAGTCGGAGGATGCGGAGAGATTGAAGTGGGATCCTAGGGGCAGCGACCTCAGTCCCGTAAGAGACCATTTTGTTGGGCTCTGGGTCTCACAGAATGGGCCGGAGCTACCGCCCTGGACTTTTGGAGTGGGTGGGGATGATCCCTTGGTGGCTGGACCAGGGTCAGCGGCACTGGGCAGCGCAGAAGACAGGATACTGAACCGGTAACAATATCCAAAGCTTTCTTCTTCGTTTCAGCTGCTGGGAAGTTCAGGTCCCGGCCTGTTGTCATCCTGATAGCTGCTTAGATCATGATAAATTTTAAATCCCTGGTTGCTGGGTTCCTTTGCCCCGATGCAATAAGCCAAATCAAACCGAATTAATAAATCCAGATTTAATATACAGGACAATGCAAAGCAGAGCACTCCCCGGTGGCTCTCAGGAAGGCGGGAGACAGAACACGAGAGCACACGTGGTAGCTCTATGGGCCAGGTCTTAAATAGCCTGTAGGCGTGGTCCGGGGCATCTCTGGGGAAGGAGCCTCCTATGGCCGGCTTTCTGAGGGGAGGGGTTTGAAATGGGAGAAGTGAGACCAGAACGTGGAATGGGAGTGCCTAGCTGGAGATTCCCAACATCCCAGCTCTTTTAGGGTATATAGACGGCAGTAGGGCTTCAACCTAAACAGCTAGGACTAGCATCCCTTCATCTAAACTTGCTCTGATTTGTCAGATTCAGACAGTATTTCTATTTTTCTAGTGAAATAGCTGAAGTTTTTGGTGGAATTAAATGGCATAAAAAGTAAACCAATAATTTACAGTAAATCACAATTGTTTCCTGAATTTTCACTTAATATTAGATTAAATTCTTCCTCTTGGTGCACAATCTTTATTAACATAATTTTGAATTATTTCATTAAGTTTACAATGAGTTGTTCTCATTTTATTTCTCCTTATTTGTTTTTTTACTAATAAATAAGGAAATAGGGAATATATTTGTGCACAACACTTTATATTTTGAATTATTTCCTTGAGTCTTGTAACCCAGATATGGCTGTTATTGGTGTAGAGGGAATAAATAAGACAGGTGACCTTCCAGGAGTTCTGCATTGGTCGGTTCAACCAATAACCAAACACATTTGGGAAAAATTGTGTCTGTTCTGAGTATGTACAGACATTTTTTTTTAACAAGGGGGGAAATAAAGCATATCAACTGCTTAAGTGCCTTAATACCTTATTAAGTATTGATGATTTAGAGATAGTGTGTGAAGTATTGAGCAGATTATATTCAAATACACCATTTTATATGAGAGTCTTGGCTGTCTTCAAGTCTTGATGTCTGGTGGGGCTGTGGCTATACTTACTAGGAAGTTTTTGAAATTTATGTGCTTTTAAGTTAGTGTATATCTTTCTAAATTAGGCATCTGCCAAGCTTTTTAATTTTATGGTTTCTGTAAACCATTAAGTTCTGGGCCATATTTTATGGTCATATTTATTGCTCATCATACTTCATATCTTTGGTTTTTTTTTTTTTTTTTTTTTTTTGGTTTTTCGAGACAGGGTTTCTCTGTGTAGCCTTGCACCTTTCCTGGATCTCGCTCTGTAGACCAGGCTGGCCTCGAACTCAAAAAGATCCGCTTGCCTCTGCCTCCTGAGTGCTGGCATTAAAGGCATATGCCACCACCGCCCGGCCATACTTCATATCTTTACATGTTAAACAAGGTTTGTTAAAACATTAAATTTTTTTTATTTTATCGTATTGAATTCCTTATTTCTTACATGCATCCTTGTTAACAATTTTGTGATTATTACATTTGTGAGGGTACATATAAGCAAGCTGAATGTCCTTACGACTTTATATTATGAAAACACCCATCTAGTATGGGTACTTTGTGATTTTATTCTTATTTATTTGAGACAGGGTCTCTTTGCTTCTTGAATGCTGGGGTTAAAGGCGTGCATTACCATGCCTGGCTAGTATAGGCATTTTGTGTGGTTCATGGTCAACCATAATTTTTTAGGGCTTATGATAGTGTGTATAGAGTAAGTGAACATTTGATTTATTATAAGTAATCAGTATAAGCACTTGGATGCTTACCAGTGATACAGAAACAGTTTTCAAGCACATCTAGAATTATGTTTAGCCAGTTAGCTAGGCATGCTGAGGTGCCTTCTCTCAGTCATATTGACACATAAGATTTATCATTACAACAACCATACATCTAAAAATGGAGAACTCATCACATTTTGCTTGTACTTTACTTGAGACGTATCTCTTACACTACAGTGTGACATAATTCTTGAAATCACATAGAATGCAGTATTGTGTAACACCTAGAGCTGAAAAAAATATTTTCTTGACTAAAAAGTTTATATAGCTGGGCGGTGGTGGCGCACGCCTTTAATCCCAGTACTCGGGAGGCAGAGCCAGGCGGATCTCTGTGAGTTCGAGGCCAGCCTGGGCTACCAAGTGAGTTCCAGGAAAGGCGCAAAGCTACACAGAGAAACCCTGTCTCGAAAAACCAAAAAAAAAAAAAAAAGTTTATATAGATGATATAATCATAACAGCTGTACTCTGTTCCTTTTATATAATTAATATCTATTTTCTTCAAGGTATAGCTCCATGAATAACTTAAACGACCCCCCAAATTGGAACATCCGGCCCAATTCCAGGGCTGATGGGGGTGATGGAAGCAAGTGGAATTATGCCCTGTTGGTGCCAATGCTGGGATTGGCAGCATTTCGTAAGTAACGATTTTTTTGACATCTCTGTTTCCTGATCCAAAATTATGCCAGGGGTAGGTTGCTGTAGGGGCTGGACACCTTAAAGATTGGCTTTAGGACTTGACCAATACAGTGTGCAGTTTTACCCTATACAGCAACTTTGTGACAGTGTTAGTGTAGTTAGACTTTCTTGTCAGACTTTCGTTGGACTGCCAGCCCCCAAATAATGACAGAGACTTATGAAAGCTTGGCCCTAGCTTAGGCTTGTTTCCAAGTATCTCTTATAACTTAAATGAACCTGTTTCTGTTAATCTGTGTTTTGCCTTGTGGCTCTTTCATTCTCCATTCTGTAGATCCAACGTGCTCCACATCTTGCTGGTGAAATCCTTGCACCTAGATTTATACCCTGAGTTCCTCTCTCTGCCCAGAATTCCTGTCTAACCTTTCCTTCCTAGTTATTGGCCATTCAGCTTTTTATTAAACCAATCACAATGACACATCTTCACACAGTGTGAACAAATATCCCGAAACAGGTTAGCTTTTCTGATCCTCAGTTTACCTATTTCTAGAAGGTAGCTTATCATGCCTCAATACATTGTGAGGATTAAATAAGATAAAAGCATTTGGTGTGGGTTAAGTTTTAATAAACTTTAGCTTTCTGTCATTGCTTCACTGTTTTAAGGGGACTTCTTTGCCTTAGTTGCTCTCCTTGGGACGGACAGAAAACCTGACCTGAAAGAAAACCAGCTAGGATGTATGTTTAGTATTTTAAAAGTCAGGTATTTGGCCGGGTGGTGGTGGCGCACGCCTTTAATCCCAGTACTCGGGAGGCAGAGCCAGGCGGATCTCTGTGAGTTCGAGGCCAGCCTGGGCTACCAAGTGAGTTCCAGGAGAGGCGCAAAGCTACACAGAGAAACCCTGTCTTGAAAAACCAAAAAAAAAAAAAAAAAAAGTCAGGTATTTGAGTGAGTTTGCCCATGAAAACTACTTTGCAGGCTAGAAATCCTCATGTTTAAATTAACTGAACACCATTGAGACTCTTACCAGTCATAGACTACAGTATGTATGGGCATATGTGGTAGTGGATGTAGTGAAAGAAAATTTGAGAAAGCCCTGGCTTAACTATGTCCCCACCTAAGATCCCTGGTGTAGAAGAACTGGTTTATATTTCTTCATGTTTTGTGGTTCTGGTTGTCATCTAAGAATATGAGAAACTGATGATTCAATAAATGAAAAGCATATACTGTGCCCTATGTATAGTGATCATTTTTATACAGTAGCTTTTTATGTGCCTGAATTTCTCAGTTCAGAAGTTTGCCATGGAGGAAGAGGAGGGATTTGACTGGTGCCAGTCCGGATCCATCCCAGAGGGTGCTGTTTAAAGGCTTCTGCCTTTCATCCTCTTTCAGTTAACTGTTCAACATAAAAGGCATCTATCATTGTGGTTCTGTGAGTGACTTGAAAGCCTTTAAATCACACTTATTATAAGTAGATTCTCATTCATTAATGGCGTTAGTCACTTTGAGTGAGTGAGTTAGCTTTGAGAATGAGAGAGGCCCTTTCATTTTCCTTGTATTTTTCAGAATTGTTTGTAGCTTTAATACCAACTCATAACTCCCAAATTCTTGCTTTTCCTTTTTGGATGTTCAAGTTGATATTTTTTTTTTTTTTTTTTTTTTTTTTTTTTTCGTTTTTCGAGACAGGGTTTCTCTGTGTAGCTTTGCGCCTTTCCTGGGACTCACTTGGTAGCCCAGGCTGGCCTCGAACTCACAGAGATCCGCCTGGCTCTGCCTCCCAAGTGCTGGGATTAAAGGCGTGCGCCACCACCGCCCGGCTCAAGTTGATATTTTTTGTCCTGAGAAAGATTGAAGAATGTTTTATGTTTCTGTATTAATTATCCTGGTTAAATAATGTATTCAGGGATAACTGTTTTTTGTTTTTTGTTTTTTTGTTTTTTTTTTTGTTACTTTAAATCGGAGTCTCACTATGCTGGCCTTAAATTCACAATCTTAGGTGTGTGCCAGGACAGCCTAGACTAGAAGTAATTTTTAACTTTGCATTCTTATAAGGATTCTCTAAAAATGTGTTACTACATGCTTGAGAAGATGTATTGCGACATACAGACGTTAACTAGCCTTCATCATGATCTGAAAGTAACAGCAGATGAATGAATGCTTTACTTGACTAACAACCACTGATGGATGAGAATCTACTTTTATTCGGATGATTTAAATTTCATGGCCAACCCTCCCTTCTTCTTTCTTCTTCCTTTCTTTTGTGGTTCTGATGATCAAACCCCAGACTTTGTGTATGCTAGGCAAGAACACTACCATTGAGTTACATCCATAGCCTCAAATTTTGTAATTTTTAATACAATTCTTACCTTGAAGAGTGCCTGTCACTCTTTGCCAGGCTTAGCTCTCCTCATCTCTGTTTTGCCTTCATAGTCCCTATTTCTCTGTTCATTCTCCCCTTCTTCCTTTGCCTCCTCCCTCCCCCACCTTCTCTTGAGTAGAAAAGAAACTGTCTTAGATCTAAAAAGTGAAGTGTCTGGTATACTGAACTTAATCACTTAGTACAACTCAGTTTAGTCAAGAGACAGTTTTGAGACCATTGTAGACCACATACAGTAGTAAAAAGTAACACAAAGACATCAGCCTTTAATCAGTTTCCCCTAGCGGTTACCTCATGCAGACTCATGTGGGACTCAGGATCTTATGGTTGGCACAGGCAAGATAACATCACATTATGAAGGAACACCTGTCGTTTCATAGCCACAGTTTCCTGTGAAACCTAGTAACTACTCATCTAGGAACCAATTGATCTATAATATTATATAACTAGAAGTATGAAGTTATGTGGCTGTCTTAAAGTCTTTGTCAGATAACACTAAAATATCTGATCTTCCTGGGCTTTGGTATGACTATTTTGCTTTGAAACCTGCACATTTTGGCAGGCTGGCCTTGAGCTTGGAATCTTCCTCTCTCTTAGCCTCCCAAGTACCAGGATTACAAGTTCTTGCTACCAAGTCCAACCTAAGTTGAACTTTTCCACCTTATTTTTGTAAAGCATTATAGCAAACCCACCAGACTTAAACAGATGATAACTAGGAAAACCCAAGTGTGACTTCCAACAATATTTGAAGCCTACCAATATTTATTTTTTAAACATTGGCAATAAGTCATGAAGCACTGAGGTAGAGCACATAAATGATAGATTCAAAAACAAACAAAACAGTGATAAATTTTTCCAGCCATGGAAGTTAGACACCAGAACACAGACATTGAATGTGCTGCTTTACGTGCCTAGCACTGATCTGACTTTAGGATAAGAGCTTTGCCTATTTTGTTATCTGCAAAATTTCAATGGCTTGGTACTTTTGAATTCTTAAACTTTTATTGAAATGCTATCATTACTGTTTATATATTTTCCCTAAGTAGTCATAGGATTTTAGTTGTGTCTTTTCATGTGTTTTCTTCATCTCTTCCTCATGTCAGGTTGGATTTGGTCTAGGGAATCCCAAAAAGAAATAGAAAAAGCAAGAGAAGCATATCATCAGAGAACAACTGCTTTCCAACAGGATCTTGAAGCTAAATACCATGCTGTGATCTCAGAACATCGGCGAGCTGTTGCTCAACTGTCTTTGGAACTGGAAAAGGAGCAAAATAGAACAACTAGTTTTCGAGAAGCCCTTATCTCTCAGGGGCGTAAGTTGGCAGAAGAAAGGAAGCTTCTTGAACAGGAACGAGCTCAAATAATGCAAGAAAAAAGCCAGCTGCAGCCTCTGAGAAGTGTGTATCTGAGGTGCCTGGAAGAAGAGGACAACTGGCAGAGGAGAGCCCAGCTCCTGCTGAAGGAGGTGGGAGAAGCTCTTGTGGAACGCCAAAATATCTACTGCAGCCTGATCCTTCCCCGTAGTAAAAGGCTAGACCTGGAGAAGAACTTACTGGTGCGCTCGTCTGTTGATCCAGTGGCTGCTGACCTAGACATGGCAGCTGGCTTATCTGACATATTTAAGCATGATAAGCATTGTGGAGATGTCTGGAACACCAACAAGCGCCAAAATGGGAGACTCATGTGGGTGTATCTCAAATATTGGGAGCTACTTGTTGAACTTAAAAAGTTTAAGAAAGTAGAGAAAGTCATACTAGAAAAATAAGAGGGACTGGAGAAATGGCTGAGTGGTTAAGCGCACTTACTGCTCTTCCAGGAGACCTGGGTTAATTCCAAGCACCCACATGGCAGCTCACAACTGTCTGTAACTCCAAGATCTGACACCCTCACACAGACATACATGCAGGTAAAACACCAATGCATATAAAATAAAAATAAATGAAATGAAATAATAAGAACGAAATGAAATGTAAGGCCAGATGGGGTCATTCACCATGGCAGTCTGCATTCTGGGCTCTCTGATACGTACTTTTCCTTTGCCACCACATGTGACCCAGTACAGCTACCCTTGTGAGAACTCAAGTCTTTCCACCCTTTGAGCAGTGCAGTAGGGTCTTAGCAGATAAGTTTTTTCTATAATGCTCTGCAGTTATTAGAGATTCAGTTTTTCTGAAGCATTTTTGAGCTGCTAATATTTAGCAGAACAAGTGCAACCTTTTATTTTAGTTCTAGGATAAAGAAAAAATTTAAAACTCAAATACACTATTTTTACTCTAAGAAATGTTCTGTCAATTTTTTACCTCTCCTCCAATTACTGTTCTCCCTTCCCTGATTCCATCTAGAGGTTATTGGGTAATGTAGTTATATTACTAAGATTTATATTGTTTGGAACATTTTTTCCCTCACAAAGGAAAAAACACCAAATGTTACTTATGCCCAGCTGGTGCCCCAGTGAATACTTAGAATTGAGCTGTACTTGTATTCAATAAGCATGTTTATTAGCAATGATATGCAGTCAATAATATTTGTCATTTAAAAACAATAGTGTCACTTTTTATTTGTGTGACTCTTTACTGTTCTTTTGAGTGTTGCTGCATAGTCCAGGTAAGCCTCATATATGCAATCCTCCTGCCTCAGGTTCCCAAGTGCTGGGATTACAAATGTGTATCACTATTCTTGGGTTGATAATTTCACATGTATTGTCTCAGTTTTTAACGTTATTTTAAAAGTATTTATAACTTACATACATCTTATATGAATTGATCCTTTGTACATAACTCATGTAATCCTTACTCTGGTTTTATGAGCTAAGTACTATTATTTATCTTGTAAATAGTAATTTCCCAAGAAACCAGGTTTTTTGACTTGTCATAGTTTTCTAAAAGTATACCTGTGGTTGCTCAGGGCTTGGATTTGTTATAGTAAGAAAGATAAAATCAGCAGAGGAAAGGCATATAGATGAAGTGTAGAGGGAACCAGGTGGAGCCCCCAAGGATCACACTATGGAATCACAGGGAACATTTTTTTAGTTTAGGGGCAGCTGTGACGTATGACAGGTTCCCAGGAAAGATCACTGGTGACTATCAAGATTTGATGGGGTGAGGACTATTCATGTAACCTTTCTATCTGATATATATCAGTTCCATTCCCACAGGAAGGAAAAAGGGTAGATATCACTCATACTCTGCAAGCAGTTTAGGTGTGGTGAGCTACTCACTAGTTACTAGTGCTGGGAACTCCCAGCATCCAGGTTCCCAGACACAAGGCTGTTAGGTACTAGCCTTGTGAGAGGATGCAGTATAAAGTCTGTTAAATGAGCTCTTCCACATAGCCTTACTTTCTGGAGGACAGGATCTGGAGCCAGGATAAAGAGACGGTAATCTGCCTAGGTCATGGGTAGTATTTTGTGGAGTGGGTCTGAGCTGGGTGTTTGATTTCCAGAACTAGGAACCTATATGTGGTTATTTGTCAGTGGCCATGCAGGAAGTGAATAAAGTGGGTAGTTTGTGTTCAGATCCTATAGTCTACCCTGTGCATATCTTTCTGAATAGAAATATGACAAACATGCCAGGTGGCGGCGGCGGCGGCGGCGGTGGCGCACGCCTTTAATCCCAGCACTCAGGAGGCAGAGGCAGGTAGACCTCTGTGAGTTCAAGGCCAGCCTGGTCTACAGAGTGAGTTCTAGTACAGGCTCTAAAGCTACACAGAGAAACCCTATCTCAAAAAACAACAGAAATATGACAAACTTGAAAGTACTTATATAGAAAACGTTTCAGTTATGGAATGATTGAGGAGCACTGGTGCTCATGTTTTATTCCACATTAAGTTCTCAGAATCATCTTTGCAGAATTGGCAGCAGGCTCCCTCAGCTTAAGCCAGCTGATTCCAGCTTCTCAATGGATACTTACCATGCCTTTTTTCTGTATTACCAGCACTATCTCTGAGAAGTTATTAGTTGTAGTACATCTAAAACAGTTTTCTCAGATTGTTTCCTAATACATTAGATTCTTGAAGGAAGCCACATAGGCTCTAGTATCTGTTACCACTGGTCAGTCATGTGATCTTGGACAGGCCACTTCATGGCTTTCTCTAAGGTTTATCTTTTAAAATGACACATTTTCCATGAGAATCACATCAACTGTTTGTGACATGACCACTTTCCTAAGTCTGCTTTCTGTTTTTTTAAACTGAAATTGTTAGTGGCATATTTTTATTGCTGTTCAGGGGTCAAATGGAAGTACCCAGGTATGGGGACTTACTTGGGGGAGGAGATAGCATGGTAGACCCTTTGCTGGCACATGGGTGGTTATGAAGCTAAGCTTTTACTTCTGTCACAAGAAAATTGTCATATTTTAAAATTCAGAATATTAATGAAATAAACTGTACATAAGTTAAGCCACACTACTATTTTATTAGCATTTAATTACACTAATACTTTTGCAAAGCAGATACTGGAAATGAAGTCCAAACAGGTCTTCCTCATGTGGTGATTTGTTCCTTAAAGGAGTTGCAAAGCGCCAGGCCTCAGCCATTCTGAGGAGCAGTGATTTGAGGGCATTATAGGCATGTTGTTGTCATCTATAAAGTTTGTGCTTGAAAACTGTATAATTGAGTCACAACAAATTTCATAAAAATAAGCTGGGCGGTGGTGGCACATGCCTTTAATCCCAGCACTTGGGAGGCAGAGGCAGGTGGATCTCTGTGAGTTCGAGGCCCACCTGGGCTACAGAGTGAGTTGAGTTCTAGGAAAGGCACAAAGCTGCATGGAGAAACCCTGTCTCGAAAAAAAAAAAATTCATAAAAATAATCCATGTCTTAAGTAAGTTTATAATTTTGTTCATAGCTATCCTCTGACACTTGTGGCTGCATATACTGTTCAGGTTGGACACAGAGCAGAAAACAGGGTCAGAATATTCCAAGAAATACTGGGCATATTTCAGCAGCTAGATGTTCTCATTCACCAAAAGATGGTGCAACCCTGCCAAGATTAGAAACAAAGATAGCTACGGACAGAAAATTGATCTCCATCCGCATCCCCCACCTTTCTGTGTAGGCAGATGTCATATGGTAAATAGTACAGCAGATAGAACATAGCTAAGTTTCTGCTAGACTCAGAGGTTAGGTTCATTTATTTTCAGTGTCTTTCTCTGGTTATTTTTTATGGGCTGCTGCTTCTATACATTTTCTGTCATGAGTTTTCTCATTTCCACCCCCTCACTGCATCAGAGCCAAGTTGACCCTACTTCCACTACAACCTTCCCTGGTGTCCACATTCTCCTCCACCTTCTACCTTGGTGGTAGGTCCTTCACTCTAGGCGGTTTGGATCCTGCCGTGCTGACACACACACATTTATATATCTGGGCTCCTCTTAGAGCATGTGATTAGTATGCCTGTAGTTTTCACTAAGGAATTCTGTGGCAGTGATGTTGCTGGTGACAAATGGCGGAGCCTGATCTGATCCAGGACTGACCTCAGGGCACCATGCTAGTTGAAATGCACAGCCTCTTATAGCATGGTTCTAGCACCTACTCCATTTGTTCTAGTGCTCTGGAAAAGTTTTCCAAAGCAGTTTTGAAAGCTTGCAGCAAAAAAGTACCAAGTTCATTGCTGGTTTCATGAATGTCTGGGTCAAAACTTCCAAAAAGAGGGGTGGAGGCCTGGATGTCCTCCCGGTTAGCTCGAAGCAGTACTGCTCGCAGGTCCTCTGCAATCATGTCATATTTCTGTTGGTCAAATTTGGACACTGACAGCTCATCCTGGGGGTAGGTAGCACCCTCAGGGTAGCAGTCCTTTGGCACTGGGAACTCAATGTGATGCAGCCTAGGGAGTTCACAGAGTGCAGCAAAAAGGCGCTGGAGAGCACTGGCTGACAGTGGGTTTCCAAAGAACTTGAACTCCTGGAGCTGGTTGCAAGGGCTGAGGCCCAGAATCATCATTCCAACATGGTTGTCTGTGATATTGCACTCCTCTAGGGTGAGTACTCTCAGTGTTTGGGCAGCCTGGCTCAGCAGCCTGAAGAAGGTAGAAGGGTACAGATGTACCAGGTTGTGTCCACTAAGGTCCAGCACCTCCAAGTGGGCAGTGTGCTTACAATCTGCTAAGAAGGATATGTCTTCATGATTAAGGGCACAGTTGGCTAGGTCCAGCACTCTTAGTGGGGTCTTCAAGGGACTGTGAGGTAGACAAAAACATCACAAATGTTATAAGGGTCCCAGGTGAGGACCAGGTAGACAATCCATCCACTTTTCTATCTTAGGGACCACAGACTACAGCCTGCCAGGAACTCCAGCTGACACTTCATTTTACATGGCTTCTGAGTTAAGAATGACTGCTATTTTTAAGCAATTGAAAAAAAAATCAAAATAATTTGTGACATGAAAGTCACATGTTTCTTCTGACAGTGTATGGCTGCTGGTCCTGCTGAACAGTCAATAATTGAACCTAAAATCGACCAACACATCTTTCAAATTAGGTAGGGAAGTTAGGCACGTGATCTCAGAATAGTCAGAATGTTGACTGGGGACAGCAAAAGACAGAATTAGCTTGAAAGAAGGTACTGTCACGCTGAAATAGAACCAATACAATTTCAGGGCTGGGAAGGGCTCCATATCCTGAATTCACTAGGCATCCTATATCAGCTGGGGGCGGTGTGTCTCTGGAACAACATCCCCACCCAGGATTCATGAGAAAATACATTTTCAGGCTATCTCATATACATTTTCTGGGAATATCCCCATCACTGCTCTTGTTAAGTAAGGCAGTATGTATTGGGGTCTTGTTCTCTGTCCCTACTACCCTGTTCTTGCTGCCTCCCCATGGCCTGCCCACACATGGTCCCACATGACAACCTACTACTAGGACAATACTCTCCACATAAAGCCACCCTGACTTTATCACTACCTGGCAGCTGCCCTCCTGCCCTTCTTCATAGCAGTTGCTGAGGAGGAGAGCCAGGATTTCAGATGAGACAATAGTTCACCTGATAGCTCACACAACTTTCTCACTATGCTGAGCTACAATTCCCATTCCTGACCTGGGAAAATGCTTTAAGACACTAAATATTGGGTAATTTGTTATACAACAATAGTCAGTAGAAGATCTAGTTGTGCCTTCTGCATTGTTTACTTTCTAATTAATACCTTCCTTCCTCCTCTTCCCTCCTCTGATGCTGGGAATTAAAACTAGGATCCTGCTACTGCTTTATTACTAAACTACCCTATATGCTCAGCCCTTGTTTTTGTTTTTGTTTGTTGAGATAAGACGTCTCTTTGTTGCTATGGATATCGTTCTGTATAAATACAACACTGATTGGCCAGTGGCCAGGCAGGAAGTATAGGCGGGACAAGGAGAGAGGAGAATTCTGGGAAGCGGAAGGCTGAGGGAGACACTGCCAGCCACCGCCATGACTAGCAGCATGTGAAGATGCCGGTAAGCCACGAGCCACGTGGCAAGGTATAGATTTATAGAAATGGATTAATTTAAGATATAAGAACAGTTAGCAAGAAGCCTGCCACGGCCATACAGTTTGTAACCAATATATAAGTCTCTGTGTTTACTTGGTCGGGTCTGAGTGGCTGTGGGACTGGCAGGTGACAGAGATTTGTCCTGACTGTGGACCAAGCAGGAAAACCCTAGCTACACTTTGTAGTTGGCTTCAAACTTACAGTGCTACTGCCTATGCCTCCTGAGTGCTGGGATAATGGGCAAGCCCCCATGCCTAGCTTTTGTTAATTGAAAGGAGTCTTCCAAGTTGGCTCAGTGCTCAGGTTCTTTCCTCTTAACTCCTGTGGCTCTGGCCAACACATCCCCAGAGAACACTGTGTAAGCAGGTCCCATCTCTATCCCTATATCTCACTGACTCCAGCCCTACTCCACCCAGCTTGTGCCCAGTTATCTGAGACTTACCTAAGCAATGTTTGGATCTTCCCAGTCAGTGTAGAGAAAGCTACACTTAGCTCGGTGAGCTGGTTCATCCGACTGAGCTCCCAGGCAATAGAGGTGAGGAGGGGATCCTCACCCTCTGGAGTTAGGGCATAGGTGGGGGGTGCATCGAAGGCCTTAGTGGGTAAGGTGAGTGAGGTCAGTTGAGGGAAGCCCACCTGGGCCAGTAACTGCTGTACATGGCCAGCATGCAACCGTACATTGTGTACTACCTCCAACTTTCTTAGCTTGCTTGGCCCAGCTAGGCCAAGCACTTGTAGGAGCTGCCCAGGGCTCAGGCTATCTGCCCGGAGTGAAGGGCAGCAGACCTGCAGAGGGGCTGGGCCTGCTGGCTTCAGGGCCTGCACCACCATGTCAAAGTTACCTTCTGTGACAAAGAGGTCAGCAAAGACTTCAATGGGGTACCTAGCTGTACAGGACTGTCCTTGGAGCTGGCAGCAGGTCCTGGCCAGCACCTTAGTACGGCCCCACCTTCCTAGTGCCCTCCCACAAGGACATTGCTGCACCTGTACATCCTGAATGCCTGTGAAATCAGCTACCCGAAGTCGGTCGCTCCCACTTTGCAGCACATGGTCAGCGAGGCCCTGCATACAGGCCTCCAGGCAGGCCTTGCAGGCACGATCACGCAGGTCTTCAGGGTGGTCAGTGTTTGGCCCCAGCAGCACAGCCAGCCGGAACTCCTCTAGGGGCCAGTGACTCAGCACAGCACGGGTTACTTCTGCCTGCTCTAGCAGGTAACTGGCCTTGAATAGGAGTGGGTAGAGGTTGTAGGCTATATGGTCCAGGCTCTCCTCGGCCAGCTTGGGGTGGGACACCAAGGCTTTGGCAGAAATAAAACGGAGCGACCTCATTGTGTCCCTGGTCAGGATGGTGCTGTCCCTGCTGTTCCTCCCAAAGCGTGTGGGTTTTGTGCCTATTTTTAGCTGCTGCTGCTGCTTCTGGGCTCTGGACAGAAAGTGGTAAACTGGCCCTTGTGGTCATCTGACTGCTATTTTGGTCCTTGGATACTAGTTTGGCCATGATTGTGGAGGTATCTGTCTGTTTCATGGCATCCTGCTGGTGAAATGTGAGCTGCTTGGCTTTGTTGCCCAATGTGGGGCCAATAAGAGGCTGAGCTCAAGGTACTTGTGCAAATAGCCTAAGGCTTACAATACAGATGGATACTCTGCCCATCCCAGTCAAAAGATCTGAGTGAAGCTAGATCCTGAGCTGCATTTGGGTGGTTGAGACAGTGGTCTTTGGTTAAAGTCCTTCTTTTCCTTATAACTAGGAGTCAGAGGTGCAAGGGCCAGGATTGTGGGGTGGATATCTCAGACAACTCTTCAAATTTTAAGAATACTGGCCCATGAAGCTTCACCATCTCTTATCCCCAAGGTCCTTCTTTGCACAAGAGGGAGAAATAGTTTCCCTGCAGAACAGATACAGACTAGTGAAGCAGGTGATGCAGAAAATAAATGCAGGTACCTGTAGGCTGTGGGTTTTCAACCCTAGCATAGGTATGTGTTGAATAACTGTTAAATGATTAGATCTGCCTGCTCATCATCCCCATCATCTGCAGTTGGGCAGCACATCCTGGCTCATAGGTTCCCATGGTGCCAGCTGTGGCAGGAGGGTCATAGTAGAGAAAGAGAGGGAGAGGGAGAACAGGAGGCAGACAGAGGCCAATCCAGGTGAGAGTGCTGACCTCAGGTGCACCCCAATTTCACTGTGTTATCTTTGACTTCCTCCTCCTGATCTAGAGCTTTATCTCTCCCAAAGACTTTGCCATGGACAGAGATGGGAATATGCTATCATGGTGGAGCACCAGGCACTGCCAGGTGGGCAGGATTTCTATGGAAGGTAATCCTTGACACGACTTTGCCCTGATTTCATCACTTGCCCCTGTGTGGGAGCCCGTTCTCGGGTTCCTCGTGGCTTTACCCAGCAGGTCCACATAGAGGATGATTAGACCACGGGCCTGAGTGCAGGTGTCTGAGATGGTCTGCACTTGGCTGTGCTGGGGGAGGAGGTCTTTTGCTCCACCCCTTGGCATCTCTATAAAAACCCTGGGGCAGAGACAGTCAGGGCCCGTTGGAATAGGTTCCAGGCCCTCTCGAGGCTATCCTTTATTTTCTATCTGTTTATCTCTGCGATATTCTCCGCAATAAATCCTTCTATCTAATATTTCCTGCTGCTCGCACTCAAGAAAACTCTGGGGAACTGTGGGGGTGGTTGGGTAAACGCCCCACAGAATGGCGCCATGAACAGGGACTAAAGAAAAAAGAAAAAAAAAGGACTAAAAAAAAGGGGGGACTGAAAAAAAGGGGGGACTAAAGACAAATGAACAGGGACTAAAGACAAAGTAATAGGGACTAAAGATAAAGGAAAATAATAGTTTTATTACAGAGTTTTTGGTGAAAGTGCTGAGTCAGCCCTGCCAGTGGAAAGGCATGCCGGTGTTATGGAAAATATATATATATATATATTTATATGTATTATTACAGGCAGGGGTTTTATCCTCGAGAGAAAAGGAAGCGGACTGGAAGGATGTCCGATGCTGCAGCGAAATTCTCTTCTGTCAAAATTTTCTATCTTGTATCCCTTTCTCAATTTCTATCTGTGAAAAATAAGTATAAGGCATAGGGTAGTAAAATAGTGTAGGAAAAACTTAAAAGTGTAAGATTGTGTAGGAAAAAATAAGGCAACTAGACAGAAAAACTCTTCAATTTTCTAACTTTGGGGGCTATGAATGCAAACTGGGGGAAAAAATCTTTCTTTGGGCTTTACGGGTAGTAAAAAAGCTCTTCTTTGAGCTTATGGGGAAGAAAAAGTTTCCTATGGAAGCTTTTTTTTTTTTTTTTTTTTTTTTTTTTGGTTTTTCGAGACAGGGTTTCTCTGTGTAGCTTTGCGCCTTTCCTGGGACTCACTTGGTAGTCCAGGCTGGCCTCGAACTCAGAGATCCGCCTGGCTCTGCCTCCCGAGTGCTGGGATTAAAGGCGTGCGCCACCACCGCCCGGCTCCTATGGAAGCTTTTGACCTGGGGACAGCTGAAATGCTAAGTCCAAGCAGCAGGAGAAAGTGATTTCTCCCTGAGGCAAAAATGGGGGTGTAAAAAGCCAAAGTTTAAAGTTGGGAAGTTTTGGGAAAAGTTGGTCTTTCTCCTGGGGGGAAAAATCTTTCTCTTAAACTATAAAGCTTTTCTTGGAAAATTTGGAGGGAAAAAACTCTAAAGCCTTCATCTTTCTCAAAAGCTCTTAAACTTAAAAACTAAAGCCTTTAACTTTCAGAAGGACAAAAATTAGAATCACCTGAAGATATCAGTATGGGGACCACCTGTGATTAGCTCAAAGGGAAAACAACAAACCTCTTAAGACAGCAAAACCTCTCCAAGTTCTTTCAAGCTTTAAAAATCCTCCCTGCAATGCAGGAGGCAGGGACAAGTTCCTAAAAACCTCTTCTAAGATGTCTCTTCAAACTAGTAAAAGACAGTGGGTCAGAGTACCCTGAGGGAAACGCTTGGGAGAGTGTGGGTAAAGAGCTACAGAGAGCCCAAAAGGGCGGGAAACTCTACTGGGAAAAGCAAAAAAGCCAAGCTTTTCAGTTACAGCCGAGCTGAGGCAACAAGGGTTTTGTTTGAGCGTTTCAGAATGAAAAGGTGTTCCTAATCGTACTAATGCAAAGATCCCCTGAAGCAATGCAAACTGTTAGCATTGTATCCTCGCTTCTGACCAACAACCCAGAGGTGACTGGCCAGCATCTCTGAGTTGGAGTGCATTTCATGGATACTAGGATTCCTGCAGTTGTAAACTTCCAGGAGCACAGAGCTGAGGCAGGAAGGTGCAGGACCCAGGGGAAGATTGCCAATGAACAAAGCTAAAGCCAGTGGGAATGTCACAGTTGTCCACTTTCCTACAAGTCCCGGTTTGATAGGTCCACAGCTGAAAAAAAAAAACTGAGAAAAAGGTTTCCTTTCAGAGTAAGGACCTTTCTGGGACAACAGTAAAGCTGAACTGTGTCTGAAGCAGTTGTGCTGCTGAGTCAGAACGCTGTCTGGGGAAAGAGCCCAGCCAGGACAGAACAGAACTATCCAGGAGTAAAGCTTGCTTTTTCTGTCAGAAAAAGCATCTCTTTGAGAAAAGCTTTGTTTTTAACTGACTCCCGGTGAGATGAGGGAGTGTAGCCCTGAGGGGTGATTGCCTCTGGCATAAGCTCTGTCCTCAAGCAAACACAACCCACTGGGGCACTGGGCCAGGTGAAGGCCTGATGAGGCAAAACGCCTGTCCTAATGGGAGTTTAGAAGTGGCAAAAACCTCCCTTGTTAGATTTTCAGTCTGTATGCAAACCACACAGACCCAGAAAACAAATGGACAAAAAACACCTACCTTCAGTATCAGGGAAAGCCGCCACTGTAGTGTCGGAAACTGTTTCTGGGGTAGAGGGGACAAACTGAGACCAAACTGGGAACTGTCTGGGGAAAAAGACTCCGAAGAAACAGAAGGGACATAATCCTCCCCAGAAAATATGTGACCTGAAAAAGCTGCTAGAATTTGAGGCAGATTCGGGGGGGAGGAAGAAAGCCCCTACTTCCAAAGGCAGCTAGCAGAGGTACAGATCCGTAGACAGATACCTGAAGCTCTGAATCTGGGGGGGATGGAACAAGCAAAATGAGAATAAAATTAGTGGGAGAAAATCTCTCTGAAGGAGCTATGGAAAAGCTGTTGTACATGATCTTGTTTTTCACTGACTGGCTAAGGCAAACACAAGCCCCGAGGAAAGTTGCTATCAGAAATGCCAGCCTCAATGCGCACTAACGAGGCAGGTGCAGTTCTAATTTGGGGGCCAGTGTCTGATGAAGGCGAAACACCTGTTAAAGCCAGTTGAGGAGAGAATAGAAATCTCCCAACGTGCCAAAGCTGAAAATGTAAAATGCTTGTTCAAATCTCCCATTGCAAAAGCAAAAAACTTTGTTCAAACCTCCCGGGCAAGAATTTGTAAGCAAGTCTGGTAAAAGAGAACCAGTTGACTCTCAGACCCAAAAAGAACTATGGGAAATGACTGATATAAGGGAAATGATATAAAGGACTGATTTAAGGGACTGATATTATTATGGACTGATATAAGGGAAATGCATTCTGGGAAAGGTAGTTTTTCCGCTAAAGATGGCGACATTGCCCTGAAACACGTTTGTCAGCTCGAAAATATGTTCATGGTAAACTTAAAATACAGCTTTTAAAAGAATAAGGAGGAAAATCATCTAAGAGTTTAAGTGTCAGTTCCAATGAAAAATTGAAAGGATACGGAACTGGGTGCTTCGCGGTTTGGGGCTCCGTTGGTAAAATGCCTTATTTACCCAGCTGTGCAAAGTTTACGGTAGTTGGATGACAAAAAGCTACCTTTAAGAGCAAACAAGCCACTTTAAAACCCTTAAGAAAGCAAGAGAGCAGTTTATACACTGAACATTGTCTTAGATATGAAGAAACTTATGTTGAAATTAAAAAAATTATTTACCTCTTGAACAAACAGCCTGCAATGAATGATTCCTGTACAAATCTAATTAAGGGGTAAGAAACAGGCATTCAAAAAGAAATGACTACTTTATAGATGGGAAACAAACTTCAAAAAATCTAGCTGTCTTACAAGAGTTGCTTCACCTGAAAGTTCCTTATAAGAAATCAATGCTAAATATTACAGCTGCTAATAACATCAGGAGTTAAAGCTAAAGAGGTGAAAATACTAAATACAGTTCGGAGCTGTGCCACTTGTGGCTTTACTAGCTCCTTTAGAAAAATACTTTATATCACCTAATAGCTGTGCAGTATTTGGCAAAGAGCTTTACAGCAGCTAAATATGGTAATTTCACCGTCAGCATAAAGTGAAGTTTTTCGGTAGAACAAACCAAAAGTACTACTGTAATAGTAACGTTTGTCTGAATTGAAGCACTTAGGAGACTATTATGAATTTGGGTGAAGGGACAGCCTCTAGTTAAAAACCGTTTACCGCTGACAGTGCATCTCTGCCAGTCCGGAACGGCTGAGAGAACTGGCAACTTTGGAGTGTGGCGCCATCCTGGGAAGGTTACAGTCTCCTAGCAACAACTATCACAATTCTATAACAACAACACTCACTAAATCCCAGTGCTTTATAACAAAGCTGACTATAAACTCTAAACTTTAGAAATGATGTAAGTACTTCCTGTCTAGTTAAGAGAATCTTTCTAATAGAGATAGTGATAATAATTAAGAGTAAGAAATAGAAAAAGATGAAAATAAGATATGTGGGTTTGTAAAAATTCTCTTGTTAGATCTCTGTGTTAAGAAATCTTTAGGTGTTTGCTAAGTTAAATATACGCTAATGGTAGCCCTATATAAGTTTGTAAAATAGATCTATAGAGTTCCTTTAAGAATATAAGCTTGCAAGAAGTATCTAAGGTAGTCTTAAGACATGTAGTAATAAGCTTGTAAGAAGTAAAGATGCTAGTTGTAAATGTAAGTTTAAATAAGAATAAGATGGAATGAATATAAGAAATATATAAGAAGTAATAAGAAATATATTTGCTAAAGTAGTTCTATAGTTTCCTTAAGGAGTATAAATAAGTAGATGTTAATGTTATGCGTTTGTAAAATGTAAATGTTGAATGTGAGTCTAAATGCTTTGCAAGGCAAAAAATGTTATATGTGAGTTTGTGAAAAAGTGTAAATGTTAAGTGTGAGTCTATGCTTAATGTATATGATGAAAAGAACCTGAGATACAGAAGGTAGTGTCCTAGCAGACTGCAAAGCAGGCAGTCTGAGTGGTTTTCAAAAGTTCCAGAAGCCGCTAAGAAGCTAAAAATGGCGAATGCCAGAACCAGCACAACAAGTCATCCGCAGCTGAGATCTGTGGAAAATCCACTCAACACAGAAAAACCTGAGCTAACATCAAAAACAGTGCGGTTTAGAATACTACTGTACCTAAAAAGGTCTCTGGCTTGAGAATAAGTTCAGAGACGCTTGTTTGAACAAAAATTAACTGCAAAAAGTTTTGGTTGTAAAACGTCTCTCCATATTTTGAAGTGAAAGCCTAATACCAGAATTTATCTCTTGTTTGAACCTTTTGAACTTAAAATGAGATAAAACTACAAAAAGGTTTTGGTTATGGATTTCTTCATATTTGGAAGGCTTGTACCAGAATTTATCATTTGAATTTTGGGACTTAAGAAATGAAATGAACAGTAGAGATTTCATTGCAATGGGACAATTTTGAGTTTACTTATAGTAATGACCTAGGAACTGTTTTCTGGAATTGGGTTAATAATGGAACTGTTTAAATGAAGAAATTCATTATTTCTACCTAGAATCAAGATGCAGTTTTGTGTATGCATATATGCTTTATTAACTGGTGATTCATGAATTGTTTTATGGAACTATTTATGTAAAAATGAAATTACTTACAGAACTGGTTTTGTGTTACAAATGGAACTGTTTAAATGGAAAAGTTTGGGTTTTCTAACTAGGTTTGAGATTTTGCTTAAAAAATTATAAAGAAAAGGGGGAGAGTTAATATTCCTTAGTCTAATTTCAAAAGTTGTTTGAGTGGATTAATGTCATGTTTTTGTTAGTAAGAAATGCAAATGGGGTATATTAAGAGACTACTTTTAAAGTGTAAAGAGTTTTATTAAGAAACTGCTTTTGGATGTTTTGCTAAGTTTTCAAAGTGTTAATGGTTAGATTGAGAAGATTGCTTTTCAATATGGGTTTGTAGGAATTGTATGAGTTTGGGTTCTTCTAACTAGGTTTGAGATTTTGCTTAAAAAATTATAAAGAAAAGGAGGAGTTATGAGGTTGAATTATATGTTTGCAGAAAT